TGAGATCATGAGGTCTTTGTAGACAGTTTTTGTAAGACCAGAAGTATTCACCATCACTTGGATGCTGATTGTTAACTTGGCCACCACAATCATATGGAACATAACACAAGATGAACAGCTAGTATAGTATAAATAGGACAAAACTAAATAAATTAATTCAAATACGGAACATTAGTGTCTCACTTCCAGCTGCCAAGCCTCTACAAATTAATAAACAGCAGATACTGTCTATGTTCTTTGTGCCCTGTAGAAAAACGACCTTGCACATTACATTGTTCTGTATCACACTAATATTGATAGCATCTAATGGGTACGTTCTTGGGAGCACCGTATTGACATTGTTTTAGATAGGTTCACACGACACAATGATAGTACAGCAGAATTATAAGCTGCCATGACAGGTTTGAAAAGGAACGTTATTTACTTAACCCCACTTTTCCAAATGGGGCAATTGCCTTCAAAAGACATGTACTCAGAAGCTTATCAGCATTAAATAAAAAAATGAATGAATGAATAAATAACTGAAAGATGTGTGACAAAAATAAAGGACTGGCACTGCTGTAGTTTGTGGAATTGAATTGTGTGTTTGACCAAAGTTCTGTTCCACAGAACTAAATATTCCACTATTGAGCTAAAACAGAAAATAAGCTAAAATGGTCAGAATTAGAAGCAAGGGAGGATGAAATTCAACAATTTCATAGAATCATAGAATCCCTACAGTGTGGAAACAGGCCCTTCGGCCCAACAAGTCCACACTGACCCTCAGAGTATCCCACCTAGACCCATCCCCCTATAACCCTAATCTACACATCCCTGAACACTACAGGTAATTTAGCATGGCCAGTCCACCTAGCCTGCACATCTTTGGTCTGTGGGAGGAAACCGGAGCACCCAGCAGAAACCCGCACAGACACGGAGAATTTGAAGATAAGATTGTTGACCAACAAGCAGCAACGGCTTGTTCAGGACCATTAAACGCTTTTGTAAAAAGGGACCATCTTGAAATAAAAAGTGAAAAGCAAAAGTGCAAGTGTAACATTGCAGGAAAGAGGCAACTGGCACAACTCAATGTTTACTAGGACAGGGACATGATTTGCTCGGGATACCCTTCTTTAAATGGATTATGCCATCTACTCCTTCAGTTGTCCAACAAGCAAGGAGCGGAGAAATTGTGGACGAGACTGAGGAGTTTTGCTTAGTTTACATTATACTGCAAAGTTTTTTCATGAAAAGTTAAAGCAATTTGGAGAATTACAATGTTACGAATTAAATATTTTGCAGGTGATTTATATTGACTTGGCCCTATATTTGAAACTGTTTCCGTGCTACCTGATTTGTCTCCAAATTCCAATGAATAATTAACCCTTGCTTCAATTGGCCACAGTGCATTGTAGAATATAAAGATATATTGTATTAGTTTACTAAATAGCAGTTCATCTGTCAGAAAGAATTTTGGAAGCTATGATAGATCATCATGCAGCTCTGTAACATCACTGTGCTGCCACAATGTTACATATATTAAAATAAACTATTGCCACTGAACTACTTACAGCTGCTTACATTCTATTACAAGTGCCTCCGTCTTTGGTTAATAAATGACATAAATTTCTGCTGTAATTCCAAATATTTGGCAATACTGCCTTTTAAATTTGAAAGGTGAGATTTTTTTCAGCAAACTTCTGAAAGATATAATTTTAATCATAACAGCACAATACAAATATTTTGTGCTTGAAACAAAAAAAGGTGTTGGAGAAGCTCAGCAGATCTAGCAACATCTGTGGAGACAGAGTTACCTTTTCGAGTTCAACATGGACTCTTCTTTGGTACGAGATTTTATACAATTGCAGTGGACACTAAGATATTTTAGTTCCATTATCATTACATTGCTTATTGCTAATGTTACATTAAAGTGATAAGGGGTAAATTGACTCAATACTTTCTGTTGGCCACTAACATAATATGCAGCTACAAACATGCTTTAATGAAAACATAATACTAGTTAAAATTAATGATCCAATTACAAGATCTTCTTGAGTAAAAGAAATAAATTTTATTACTTACCAATCCCAAAAGAAATATATGACATCATCACACACACAAGCACAGGCATAAAGTTTAAAGAGGAGGGTGTGTTAAGTATAAAAGGAAGATCAAGAATAGGCAGTTTAGAAAATCTTGAGTCCTTGAAGGTTTTAACCTGAAACCATGGTTATTTAACTTATGTCTTGAATTCTCAGCAACAGCAAAATTTGTAGATATCTTCTGGGTTCTGAGTGAGCAGATATCTGTGTTATCTCCAGGTGCTGTTTCTTGAGAGGAAGAAAGAGAGAGAGAGCCTTCCAGTTCTAATGTTACAAATCCATTTTCTCCCTCTCTCTGTCAACAGTCGTTGCCTGAAAAACAGTTCTTTAATGTATTCCATTATCCAGCTTCATTTTTTTTCAAGTTGGATAATCTACAAATAAATTTCATTCTAATAGGTGAAACTTCCACAAAAGCAGAAATCAAACAGGAGATACGGATCAGAGTGAATGATTTTAGTCATTTAGGTGATGTTGATTACAATTTGGTTTGTTTGATTGATGATTTCATCAAGTTTGGCACAACTTGGTCAGGTGATCACTGCATCAGTGATTTTTTTTTTAAATCATTTTTAGTCCATGAAAGATCCTGAATATTGGAAATCAGATCACAGGAGCTGAGTATTGATAGTCCATTTTTACTAATATCATAACTAATGATGTCATCTAGCCCATTGGCTATATTCTGCAGGAAACAGACATATTGCCAATAGTTCATAGCAGACCCCAGAGCTCCATTCATTGCCATTTCACCCAGAACCAATCTAGCTTCTGAACTGTGCGATTCACTCTTTTCTGTCTATGACAGTGCCAGCAGACAGAGATGAAAATTACTTTGAGCTGCTCAGAATGCATATTATTGACAGTAGCATAGAAATCCAACTGTGCACAGAATTTGGCACAAAGCTTGCATTATATAGAAATGAATGCTGCCATGGAAGCTCCGTCAGTTGCTGTGATGACTCAGCCACAGGTCAGCTTAGAACTTGGCAGCCTGTCTGAAGTGAAGGTAGTGTAGAAGACTGGCATATGATGAAAGGACCATGACTCTTGCCAAGTGACTAGACACAGACCTGCATTAGAAAGATATGAACAAGGAACAAGAATCGCGCACACGCCCCTTCGAGCCTGCTCCGCCATTCAATACAATCATGGCTGATCTGATTTTAACCCCAATTCTATAATCATGCATATCCCTGATGATCTTTCATCCTCTTGTTAATCAAGAGCCAATCTACAGGTGCCGTAAAAAATACTTAAAGATTCTGCAGCTACTGCCTTTTAAAGGAGGGGAATTCCAAAGACTCAACATTCAGACTAAAAATGTTTCCTCACCTCTGTTTTAAGTAGGCACTTATTTTTATAACTATGGTTCCCAGTTCTAAATTTTCCCACAAGAGGAAACATCCTTTTAATATCCACCTAGTCAAGTCCTCTCAGGATCTTAACTGTTTCAATTAAGTCAACTCTAATACTTCTAAACACTACAGGATACAGGCCTAGCCTCTTTAGGCTTCCTTTATAAAGCAATCCACTCAGTCCTGGTACAGTATTAATCCAGTAAACCTTCTATTCGGTACTGTCTGTACTCAGAAACCAAAGCACGTGCAGTCAATGGCACAGGGAAGCTTGCCATATGGATGACAGTTAGTGCTCTTGTATTTTACTCCACACAGCCCACAGGAAAGAAGATGCAATTGTTTTTACTGAAATAAATCTCTTTCATCAGTGTACTGGGACCTGAAGACATGGTTGATGTCATTTCCTGCTTCTTGAAAAGCAGCATAAAATCTGGTGGTAACTTTATCAGCAACACCCTGGGGTTCAGTGTTCAAGTTCTGACTACAGCAGCTGACAGCACTTCTGATGAGGAGAGAATGACCCACGATGTTGCTCCCAAGTTAATATAGTAGCGTTCCCTGAATACTTACTATGGTACCTCCTGCATTTTGACTACTTCCTCCATCTGGCAGCTGCTTCAGCTCTCTGCAGTTTCCTTGATGCTCCTCCTTGTCACCAATTCCAACCACATCTTATCAGAACATTCAGGGAAACTATATCTGAAGCAACCACTGACAGTACCCTGGAAGTATTTTCCTCTTTTTGACAGACATTCTAGAGTGATAAACAGCAACAAAAAGCAACCAAAAAGTTAACCAACAGCCTGAAGTAAGAAACACTAGCAACTAAGCCGCAACTAAGATCCTCCAAAATCATGTTAACAGGAGGTTCTATTTGTCAGTGAGCACTATGTGAAACTGTTTGACTTCAACACAAGACAAAAAAAAACTGGGTCATTCAACTATGGAAAGTAGTTACTTATCCCCCATTTTAATATTCCCAATCTGCA